ATGCATAAATCACAATTTCAAAAAATTGACCCTTATGACTGGTTTTGTGGTCCAAGGTCAGCTCAGATTCTGAATGGATAAGAATGGAAACATGCAAACCACTATTTCTATGACAGAAAACTCTCAGGAGACTGTAGAAACGCTCTTACAACAACAAAAACAGAAGTTGCTTTACCAAATGGAGTCTCAAGAGAACACGAAATATAACCGAACAGGAACAGACTGAGTAAATCGATTGTTTTCTGGGTGTGTGTGTGTGAATGAATGTAGAGACACACAGACACACCTGCTGGAAAACTCACCTCTCACAACTGAGCTGAACTAAACTGAACTGCACTGAAGAAGGGCTTTTTCCAAATCTGAACTGAACTTGAAATAAATGACTTTGGAAAAAGATGCAGAATTATAATTCAAATATGTATTTCAAATACGTAGAATTAATTTCGAATGAAAAATTCTATAAAATTCATATTACTGCTGTAAGTGTAGTTGTAAACAATTAATTTTATTTTTTATATATGAATTACCAATAAGATGTCACCACATATACTTTACAACAGAACAGAAGATACTAAACACTAAATACTAAAATTCATATATTAAAATTTTAATAATCAACTTAATTGAAATTAAATTAATTTAAGATGCTGTGAAACAATCCTGTAAATTAAATAAAAATAAAATATGGAAATATTTTCAAAAAATGAAAAAATACAAAAGCACATACAAATGTATTAAAACCTACAATACAATTCAAATTTTTAAAAAAATCTGAAAATATAAAAAGCTAATTCAAAATATTAATAAAGATTATAATAGTAATAATAATAATAATAACAACAATAATACTAAAATAACTGATGTGTATTGATGTCCAAAAAATGAGCCAAAAAATAAGACCAGGTTTACAAGACAAAAAACAAAACAGAACAACTTTAGTAATTGTGCTGGCCTAGTACATTTTCTAGTCAATAAAACCATCTTCCTGTCAATCCAATTCAAATTACTATTCAACTTCCTGTGTGTCATGGCCAATTCAATTCAAACTCACACTGAGAAAAGAGTGAAATCATAATTAAGAACATTACGAAAATGCCACAATACTGATTATTACATGTGACCTTGGAGCACAAAAATATTTGTAGCAATAGCCAACAATATATTGTATTTTTCTTTTATGCCAAAAATCATTAGGATATTAAGTAAAGATCATGTTCCATGAAGATATTCTGTAAATTTCCTACTGTAAATATATCAAGACTTAATTTTTGATTAATAATATGCATTGCTAAGGACTTCATTTAGACAAATTTAAGGGTGATTTTCTCAATATTTTGATTTTTTTTTTGCACCCTCAGATTCCAGATTTTCAAATAGTTGTATCTCAAACCATACATCAATGGAGAGCTTATTTATTCAGCTTTCAGATGATGCATAAATCACAATTTCAAAAAATTGACCCTTATGACTGGTTTTGTGGTCCAAGGTCAGCTCAGATTCTGAATGGATAAGAATGGAAACATGCAAACCACTATTTCTATGACAGAAAACTCTCAGGAGACTGTAGAAACGCTCTTACAACAACAAAAACAGAAGTTGCTTTACCAAATGGAGTCTCAAGAGAACAACCAATAAGAAAAACAGCCCAAATGATCACATTCAGAACATCTTCACAGGAACATTTTGCAGGCACTTTGCTCCCCAGACAATTAAAGACGCTACACAATAAGAGCCGCACTGGGCCGCAACGGGCCAGTGAGAAGCATTGACTGCGTCAACTTGACCAGAACACTGGCCTTCAGTTCCCATCCAATCACACACCAATTACTTATCACAGCGCTTCTGAAAACTAATGTAACTCTTTAAAGACCGTTTTCCGCACACAAAATAAATTTCACATGCCACTACAGAACATACTAATAACCACCAAAAAAAAAAAAAGTGTATGATGTATAGAGGGGCTTTTAATCATAAACAAGCCTGAAAGTTCCAGCTGCTCATTTAGAAAGATAAGAGAGATAATATACACATCTTACGACCATCTAAAACATATTATAACATAAAAAAAACAATGTAAACATCATCTATTCATCAAAGGTGCATCATAAGCAATCACACGATATTCACTAATAGCAAACTGTTAAATGTGCAACAGTGCCATGTTTTGACTTTGAAATGTGCAGAGCTCGCATGCATTTGATTGAATTACAGCCTTTTCAACTTTGTCTATTTTTTCATCCTCAAATTCAAGACCTCTTAAAAAAGACTTTTGTTACTCTATTTAAGATTTCGTATGAGCAAATTTAAGACTCTTTAAGGAGATGATAAGATGGTTTCTTCTTTCGGTAGTGGTTGATTTACTCTTACGAGGTTTACGAACAGTCCTGAGGAGGACGAGGCACAGGCTGTGCTTTGTTTATGGAGAGCGCTAAGTGTTTAATGAGTGTCGAGGGACGCGTTCATTTGCTCAGAGCGACACATCATGGAAAACCCACGGCTTCACACTCCGCTGCTCTCACACTCAGTAAAGTGTGAACGATGCTCAGATCAGCAGCACAAAAAACATGCATTAACTACAAGACGGAACTGTTGGAAAAACTGGTTCTAAAACAGATTATAAAATAATTCTGATCACATGAATCAACCTTCGATTTTAAAGTTGTAGTCATTTAGTTTTGACATTTTTATTTTTTACTAATAAATGCACCAGTGTTATTTTAGTATCACATGTATACAATTATAGTTTTTGCTAATATTTTGAAATAGATTGTGTTTACTTTTCGATAATATATTTCTATCCGTTTTCACATTAATATTGACGTTTTAGTAATTTTGCGTTTTTTGTCATTTTTGTTAGGTTTTTCTTTTTTTTATGTCTATATAGTTTTTATTTAATTTATTTATTTGCTTTAGTTTTAGTTATTTTAGTACTTCACGTTAAGCTAAACAATTTGTGCCTTGGCAACTAGTTATAATGAAATAAAATTTAATTTTTGTAATTTATATAATTTTAGTTGATGTTAATTTTATCTAATGTGACTTTTTTATGGTTTTAGATTTAGTTAACGATACTTTCTGATAAATTGATCAAAATGAAATGAGTTTATGATTAAAACAAAAACTAATGTCTGTCAATGGGCTCAAAAACTATGTAATTCAAAAGAAAAGTTTTCATACCCCACTGACAGATTTGCTCTTGCTCTCATTATAAACATAATTTAGATCAATTTATCAGAAAAAAAAACTTCTTATCTGATGTAATTTTGCTTCAAGTAAATGCATCTTGATTTAAGGAGGTTTAGATATTTGTGCTAGAAAACAAGACAAAAATACTGAGCAAAATATTCTTTTTTTTTTTTCAGTACATAATGCCACGACTATGAATTTAAGACTTTCTGCTTCTCTGCTTAAGGCCTTCATTTGTAAATAGGAGACTTTTTCAGACCTGCACTGTAAAAAAAAATCTGTAAAATTTACGGTAAAAAAACAGCAGCTGTGGTTGCCGGAATTTAACCATAATAAAATAGGGTAGCAACATTTTAGCTTATAACATATAACATTTTTAACTTAAATTTACAGTTAAATACCGTAATTTCATTAACTGATATAATGTTAATATACCAACCTATTGAAGTGCTGAAATCTGTTTTGTACTTTTGTAATACACTGATAACCACCAAATGCAGGTGGTGATGAGAAAGTCACATGATGAACAAAAGCCCATCACAAGCAGCTTTTAAATATTAACATATATAGAAGGTGCACAGTGTCATTCACACAAACACCATCATGGTAACACACATGAAACTGAAATAACGCAATAAACATTCATTTAACAACATTAGGTGTAACACACAGCCCTAATATACAAAACTGATAAGAAAAAAATAAGAAGAAACAGTTATTTCAACAAAAAAAACAATCAAATTTGAAATGTAACCCAGGGAATTCTGGGAATGTGAATTTATGGTTATTCACTGTAAATTCTACAATCTTTTTCACTTCCAAAAACGGTATACTACCGTAAAATTACATGCAATGTCCAATACAGTTTTTCACCGTATATAGTAGGGAAATTTACCGTTAACCATTTAACAGGTTCTTACTGTAGCATTTTTAGTCTTTTATCGTTAAATTCACGGTAATTTTTTACAGTGTGCAGAATCTCTGATTATGTCAAAACATACTAAAACTACAGCCAAACACAGTCTAGATTCCTCTAATGCTGACACTGCTTAGCTAGAGACGATTGTTCATTAAGCCTAAACATTTTGGGAACTGCAGTAAAAAGTCAGCCTAAAAGACTCAAATAACCTTTGCTCAACAGGTCAGACGATTAACCTCAAACTGGAATTTTGCAGCAAAAGGGTTTCAATGCATCCGTCAGCGTTTAAGAGGCATCAGCATTCCCTGAGCTTTCTTCAAACATAGGCATGCAAACATCAAGGATCTTCCCAACATCTGTTCACCCCTGCAAGGTAGTTTTATTGGGAAAGTCCACTCTGGAAGAGCAGAAAGTGAAAAACAGGAAGAGAGCGGAATGCAAACCATCATGACGGTTAAGAACAACACGGGGTCACGACAAACACATGAAGCACAACATGCGATCTAAAGACAAACACGCATCAGTCTCTGATATGCCAATAATGAAAGGATTGTTTCATAAAGGTGATAGATGTCGTCTTGGCTTGCTCTTCCAGCCGGAGGGCATTTCTTTAGCATGCACTGAGCCAAAGAGCAGCTCGGGCTGCAGAGACCACAGCGCTGAACACACGCCGTACACTCAGGGTGGATTATTAGATTTGAAGCACACAAAATGTATCTAACCAAATAAACCGTCGGTTATCCTCAGGTGACCCTCGGTCAGCAAAAGCACAGGAAATGATAAAAGGTTGCCTGAATCTCACAAAAACAGTTCTAAAATGTCATATTTCAAACCCAAATCAAAAGAAAAAGCAAGTTATTGCACTGTGACACATTCTAACAACCCCCAGACTCACCATTTTCTCAGCAGAAGTGCTGTGATTTAGTCTCGGCTATAGCTCTCCTCACCGCGACGCGTCTCTCAACTCAGTGACAGCTCACGAGACACACAATCTGCAAGAAAACAGATCAGAAATCAGCCAATGTCAAAATGTAGTGATGACAACTGTTCACTAAACTTAAACCATTCAACACATAAGCATCAGTGAGGTCAGATGGGGAACAAATTCAATGTCAAACAGAACAGAAGTCTATTAAAAATTGAAATCTTTTATAACAATATTTAAGTCTTTACCCTCCCTTTTTTTATCAATTTAACACATCCTTGCTGAATAAGATCATTAATTTCTTTCAAAAAAAATAAAAAATACACAACAAGTTTCAACATTGATAATAAATCAGCATATTAGAATGATTTCTGAAAGATCATATGACACTGAAGACTCGGGTAATGACGCTGAAAATCCAGCTTTGCATCACAAAAATAAATTATATTTTAAAGTATATTAAAACAGAAAAGCATCATTTTAAACTGTAAAATATTTCACACAATTACTGTTTTTTTCTGTATTTTTTGCTCAAATAAATGCATCCTTAATGAGCAGAAAAGACTTCTTTAAAAAATATATATATATATCTTACCGATCCCAAACTTTTTAACAGTGTTGTTTGTAAGTGTGTATGCATGTATGTATATATACACACACATTTTGCTGCAGGATGACAAAATACATGTAAAAAAGGCAGCAAAATATGCTACTTGAAAAAAAAAACCCCCGCTTTTGAATTTCACAAAAATGCCCCCCTAAAAATGTGTCCAATTGGTGAACACAAAAAAAAAAAATTATGCTGGGCTTTCTGAAGACCAGTCCAGTCAGCCGAAAAGTTGACCTCAAAAATATGTAGCTTTGCACATCCCCTAGTGTTATGTGCATGTATCTTATTTCTGTTATTGCTCGTGCAAGCAGCAAGGACACACATCAGTGTTGTACAATAAGTGATATTAGTGTTCAGTTCTGCTCAGATCAAAAGTCTTTCTCAACTCTTTCTCTGGAATGTTCAGCATTTGTGTTTTTCCTGCTCAGAGTCCAAATACTTGCAAAATTTGATAGTAAAATGTTGAGTCTAAGACATAGTTGAGCAAACAGATTCGAACATGCACAGGTTATCAGTGCAGTCTGTCACTGTCAGGTGCTCTAAACACACACACACACACACACACACACACACACACAGAGGCAGTTTAATGATCCCGTGTAAAGCACTGTGTGTTTGTATGCGCTCATGAACACACCCATGGAGTTCCTCCTCACCCCGCGCTGCTCTCACCCGCCGAGACGACCTTGATTTCCGGCTACAAGCTGACTAATAGGATGAGCTTTGATTTACAGGAAAAGGAAAGTGAAAACTCCACAGGATCCAAGAGCTCATGGGAAACACACAGATCACCAACCATGTGTGCGCACACTTGTTGACTGGGTTTCCTAACAAAACGTCCACTAAAAAAAAAGTTACAATGAAAGTTTTGTAAAGAAATTCAAACAAAGGCACAGTTCATATGTATATGTATGTATATCTATATATAAAAATTGTACTATATATATAAAATGAAAATTATATAATATTTATATACAAATACACATTTACTAGAGATGCACACATATGTATATACATATGATATAATTTAAATTTATATGTGTTTTTATTTTATCTATTATATTTTTCAGCAATGTATGTGTAAATGCACACTACTACATACACGTTCACATATGTACATGTATATCAATATGTAAATTGTCTTTAAATATACAGTATGGTGGATTTTAATGCAGAACGACTTAATACATGTAAACATACAGTAATATAAACTATTTGAAAATTAAATGGCTGGGCAAGAAAAAAATGATCTACTGGCAAGACAAGTAAAAAAAACGTATTGTTGAGCTTGAGATCAATTAAAAGTCCATTCTTATACACACTCAGAAAAAAGGTACCACAGATGTCACTTTTGTACCTTTTCAAAAGGGTCTAATCTGTACCAATTGGTTACTATGTACTTTTAAAGTACTAATATGCACCCTTAAGGGGTAAAAAAAGGTACAAAAGTGTACCTTTTGAAAAAGGCAGCTGACAGCTTTTCTTTTCTGAGTTTCGATTCAAACATGACAGCTCTACCTGAATGCAAGAGGGCAGCCTTTACCCACAACGCAAGGCTTCTGCAGATTCATTTGAAACACACCCTCTGAACACTCACTCAGCACAAACTCTCACGAGACACGTCAAAGATATCAGAAATACCTCTCATACTCCATCTTATGGCATTTAAAAAGAGAAGAGACGCTGTTTAACTCGCGTCTGAAGCCACACTGTAACAGTTTCCGAACGCTCTAAACTTCCGAAAGCGCTACAAATGTAACGAGCGCAACGTTCCACTCGCGCGCAACAGCGTGTCAGTGAATGAAACGCTCATGTATGAGGTGTGATAACTGAACACACACTCTATACTCATTCTTAAAGTTGAGCTCTTACCTGAGCGTGGACACAAACTCCTGCGCGCTTCACGCCACGACTACGCCCATCCACGCTCACACACAAAGCGCGCGAAGTGGGAGGAGCCTCGGGGCGTGTTGTACGTGAGCACGCTGTTCTTGTGCGTGTCTCAGCAGAGGCATAGCACGCACGTTTCCATCGCTCTGGGTTCTAAACAAACTTTCAACGCATGTGCGTCCACGAGCATCTGTATCAGTAGAGCACATAGCAAAGAAACGCTCGCTGTGTTTTGTTTGCATGTAACGCCCCCACCCGCGATACATTTCACAATCACAATAGAGTCTGCAGACCCCTCCTGAGACCCTGCTGCTGTCCGTGTGTTTACACTGCACTGGAATGACCTGGAAAAAACTGCAAGCGAAAGCCGAAGCCATTTGTTTATAAAGGTCATTTGCTCATTCATTTAAATTGATGATAAAAAAATTATAATAAAATAAATAAATAAATTATTATTACAACTAGGCAAAAATGTGAATTATATATATAATTACACACACGTATACACACACACATAGCTTTTTGCCCAGTTGTTTTTTTTTTGTTTATCAAATTAAATGAATGAGTAGACCACCTTTTTAAGCATCTGATGTGGTGCTGGACTGTGCCTATGATTTTATTGTACATTATTGTGCCAATAATACTATAGAAAAACTGAAATACCATTTTCTTGTAAAACATACTCAAAAACTTCAAAAAAAAACTTTATTATTGCTGTATATTGGAAAAAAAATACATCTTTATAACAGTTACACTCCAGTTATATTGGACTCAAGAAACCAGATGAACAGAGTAGGCTATATGATCCATTAAAATGTAAATGTATTAATTTAATTTCATTAATTATTAATTGTACACTTTATGTGAACCAAAGCTCTATATTTTGCAAATTGGCAAATAAAAAAAAAAACAAATGAATACTTTAATTAGAAAAGTCCTTTTCTCTTTGGATTACAAGCCAACAACTGTTGCTATTTCAATCTAGAAACCATTTTTTCCTGATCTTTCCATTTGTTCCAGGATGGCTGTTTATACATTAAAGACTAACATGCAGAAAGCCGACAAAGCTAACAGACCCTCACACCACTTATATTTATGAATCAATGATAATATGAACATAAATATTCTATATCAGCATTTATTGCACTTGTTATCTAACCATGTTACACACAAACTTCCCCACAGTTTCCAAGCCTCCAAACACGCCTCCTTTAAACATGGCACAAAACGCCTTTTATGGCAGTAACACACGCTGTGGTCACCGAGCAAATGCTTTACGACAGGACTTCCGTGAGCGTCTCACCTGTGAGGTGTGATGGAGGAAGTGAAAAGAAAGTGAACGTGTTTTCTATGTTTAGCCTCCATGAACTTTCCATTCCCCACAAAATTCCACACAAGTGAGACCAGTACAGTTTCTGCAGCACTTGGAAAACTTTATTTGGTGCCAATATTTGAACACAGAGAACAATGTTTATAAGACTGATTCTTTTGGTTATTCTGAACTTCGCATCAGGAGTAACTGTGCATCTGAACCTGAGGAGTTGCCACACACCTCCAGAACAGCAAAGCCTTAGTGTAAATGAAGAGATCCGCATTCCCACAGCCGCACAGGTCCAAACACGCCAGTCCTTATCTGACGTCACACAACACACACTGTGACTGAACTATTCTAGATGCACTTCAGAAATCACTCAACAACTCAAATTATATATTGGTAGATAGAAATGTGACTTAATACCGCAAAATATAAATCCACAAAACCCTAATGCCCAAAATTTAGGCTGCTATTACATTTGAATGCATAGAAAGCCCTTTATATTGTGTAAGAAAAATATGAAATGCAATACAAAGATGTGGCTGAAGTTGCTGTGACTTATTTACAATGCAACTAAATATACATAACACTCAATTAGGCTTGATTTTTGACACTTTGTAGTAAAAAATCTGGGGACCTCTGTTATAAAAACAACATGTTGCTTCCAGAATTCATTTCATTTTTTATTGTACTATTGCTACACACTTAAAAATAAAGGTTCTTTATTGACATCAATGGTTCTGCAAAGAACCTTTAACTTCCAACTTTTCATTCCACAAAAGGTTCTTTACAGTAGGCTTGCCGCGATAGACGGTGCTGACGGTGATACCGTTGTTAAGCTGCAACACCGGTTACGTCACTTGCCCACCGCGGCACCGACCCCCACCGTCGTTTTGATTTTTTATAGTAATAAAAATAATTTAATTCAGTAAAAGAACAGACACTACAATTAAAAACTGAACGCGGCTGCTCAATGCAGTGTGCCGAACGACAGTCACATCACAGATCAGATTTAATTTATCCAGTGAGAAGAGTGAGTCCAGCTGACTGACAAGAGTGAGGTGAGACAGACAAAACGATGGCGGATGATTTAGTTTCGAAACGAGATGCAAAAGCACCTGTTTGGCAATATTCTGGATTTTGAAAAGCCTGTTGACTTTTGCTGTTTATCTAAGGTGATTTTTTATTTATTTTTGACAGCAAGGTGTATGCCGTGCCTCCAAGCTTTCTTACTCATTTTGCTAATAAACAT